GATGTAGCACTATGACTTTGTGGTGCTTTGCAGTGTGCAAAATATGTTAAACAGGGATCAGCTGTTGCTCAGAAGAAAAAATTTAAATATATTAATGCAAATGATTTCATTTTTAGTGGTGATAGTAGTTATATAGAGACCCCGATCCTTGGGTGCATCAGAGCTCTGCTTGGTGCACCTGGTAAGGGGTGGAGCCTTAAAACCATCTTTATGCTCCCCTGATCCTCAGGACACATCCAGGACAGCTTCAGACCCTGCACAAGTCAGAGCAGTCTCGGGAGCCATTATGTGAGTTGGGATCATTGCAACACAGTACACTTCAGCCACTGCCTCTGGGGGCTCTCAGCGGGTGGTATAGATCTGGCTATGCTGCCTTTCCCCACCCTCGGTAGCTGTGATCTGGCCCAGACTCTCTAGCGTACCCGCTTTTGAGTAATTATTTCGTTGTTCTGAAAAATGTCTAATGCCAAGTTGTCCTTCCCTCAACTTTCATCCTACAAGAACTGCCATTTGTAGTCTACTGGCGGACAATGTAGATCTGCGGTATATTGAAAGAAATGCATACTGTTTGTGTGCTGAACTCTGTGTTCTTAAATCAGTTGCACAACTGCTAGTTGTTGTTCAGTGCAAAAGTTCTGAATATGCTGCCTGGTCAGTCTGAAATATCAGAAACATTCTACCAGGAGAAAGGACATCTTGGTTGTAAAATTTATTACAATTTTTTGGTAAGTGTATTTGTAATATTCTTCATGATATTCTAAGAAATGTAAATAGTTAAATAATGCTTAGTTTCTTTAAAGAAATAGATTTCAATTGACAGTTTTGTCGCTGTCTCTGGCTTGGCAAACTAATTTGACCCTCTATGAACAAAGTCGTAGTTCCTTGGTTTGATAAGGAAAAATGTGGAATCCACTTAAATTAATAGACTATACAGTATGCTAATCAGTTGTTTAAAAGAATCAAATCAAATCATTGTGTCATTAGTATTTTAACATCATATGAGGATTGATGATTAAATATGTATCCAGATGAAATAACTGTGAGATGCATAAATTAATAATTAAAGGCTGTGCTTAAAGTAGGGGGGTGGATCGCAAGACATTGAGCCAGCTTACATAAGGGGGCATGCTCTAAAGCACTCTTACCAACGCTGCTATTCCCAGGTTGCCAACTTTCTAATTGCACAAAACCAAACACCCTTGGCCCGCCCCTTCCCTGAGGCCCCACCGCTGCCCTGCCCCTTCTCCAAGGCCCCACTCCCACTCACTTCATCCCCACCTCCCTCCGTCGCGCGCTCTCCCCCACCCTCACTCACTTTCACCAGGCTGGGGCAGGGGGTTGGGGTGTGGGTGGGGGGTCCGGGCCCTGGGGTGGGGCCAGAAATGGAGGGGGCTCTGGGCTGGGGCAGGGGGTTGGATGTGGGAGGGTTCAAGGTGCGGGCTCCAGCCGGGCGACGCTTACTTCAGGCGGCTCCCAGAAGCCGCTGGCATGTCTGGCTCCTATGCAGAGGGGCCAGGGTGCTCTGCCCGCGGGCGCCGCCCCCGCGGCTTCCATTGGCTGCGGTTCCTGGCCAATGGGAGCTGCGGATCAGGCGCTTGGGGCTGGGGCAGCGTGCGGAGCCCCCTGGCTGCCCCTGTGCCTAGAAGCTGGACGTGCTCGCCACTTCCGGGAGCTGTGCGGAGCCAGGGCAGGCAGGGAGCCTGCCTTAGCACCGCTCGGTTGCCGACTGGACTTTTAGCAACCCGGTCAGCAGTGCTGACCGAAGCTGCCAGGATCCCTTTTCGACCAGGTGTTCCGGTTGAAAACCGGATGCCTGGCAACCCTAGGTCAGATAGCTATTTGTTAATTAAAATTTCACTCTCAAACTGAGAATTGACAAGGGTTTTAGTTTTACTGGCTAAGAAAATCCTCATGTTTTGATTTCTCTGTATAACAATTCTTAAATATCCACTTCAGTCAAAGTTTAAAATACAATTAAAGGCAAAGACAAGCTAGAAAAATATCAAGACTACAGCATAATTAGGGTTGCCAGGTGTCTGGTTTTTGACTGAAACATCCATTTGAAAGGGACCTTGGTGGCTTCAGTCAGCACTGCTGACTGAGCCGATAAAAGTCTGGTTGGCAGAGCAGCAGGGCGAAGGCTGGCTCCCTGCCTGGCTCCATGCAGCTCCTCGGAAGCAGCAATATGTCCCTTGGCTCCTAGGCGGAGGCTCAGCCAGGGGGGCTCCGTGTACTTCCTCCCGCCCCGAGCGTCGGCTCTGCAGCTCTCAGTGGCTGCAGTTCCCAGCCAATGGGAGTTGTGGGGGTGATGCACACCACGCAGAGCTGCCTGGCTGTGCCTTCGCCTTGGAGCCCAGGGACATGTCGCCGCTTCTGGGGAGCTGCCTGAAGTAAGCGCTTCCCGGAGCCTGCACCTCTCACCCCCTTCCTGTTCCCCAGCCCTTAGCACCCTTCCGCACCCAAACTCCCTCCCAGAGCCTGCACCCCAACCCACTGTCCCAGCCCTGAGCCCCCTCCCACACCCAATCTCCCTCCTGGAGCCCGCACCCTCTCCTGTGCCCCAACCCCTTGTCCCACCCCGGAGCCTGATCCTGCACCCCAAACCCCTCATCCCTGGCCCCACCACAGAGCCCACACACCCAGCTGGAGCCCACACCCCAACCTCCCAGCCCAGAGACCCCTCCCACACCCTGAACTCCTCATTTCTGGCTCTATCCTGGAGCCCTCACCCCCTCCTGCATCCCAGTGAAAATGAGCAAGTGAGTGAGAGTGAGCGACAGAGGGAGGGAGGATGGAGTGAGCGGGGGTGGGGCCTCGGGGAAGGGGCAGCACAGGGGCGGAGCCTTGGGTGAGGGTCGGGGCAAGGGTGTTTGTGCGATTAGAAAGTTGGCAACCCTAAGCATAATACAAGCAACGTTATTAGTGTTGCTTGCCAGCCCATGATTCAATTATGAGACTTGTAATATTTGGTGTTTTTGTTGAAGCCCCTGTACCTGTAATCCTGTGATTACATGAGAATTCAAATTCATTTTGTCAAGTTTTTCTCCACCGACTTTTTAAAAATATGACTAAAGTGCCCCCTGAAGGCTCAAAACCCAAAATCAAATTAAAAGAGCAGAAAATGTGTATATATATATATTTTTTTTTTCTCCTAATCTCATGTCTTTTTGGGTCCTGGCTCAAGATATTTGAACACGTGGGGTTGGCAGTTCTGCAATGTATAAACTTTTTGTCCTTACTCCAGTCCTTATTTAATTACAATGAAAAAAAATATACCTGATACACAATGTACAGTGTACTCCCCAAACTACTCAGCAAAACACCAGAACTATTACTTAGTGTGAAATCTAGACAAGTTCTTGTTAATAAGATTAACATTTAAATGGCTCTTTTCAGGCTCTAAGTAAGACATGTTCCCTTTCCCAATGAGCTTGCAATGTAAAGGCAAATAAAGGACAAGACCTCTGGGCCTTGTTTGCATTAGGAAAAATGTGGCCAGTAATTCACCACCTGTGGTAGAAATGGTAGAAACTGTAGCACAGGCAAAACAGTGGCGGAGTATTCTGACACTGTAGTAGTAAAATGCCTGAGCCCTATCTAAGCTGAAGCTTCCGTTGTTGCTACCTCTAATAGGCTACGTCTTCACTACCCGCCGATCCGGCGGGTAGCAATCGGTTTATCGGGGATCGACTTACCGCGTCTCGTGAGGACGCGGTAAAATCGATCCCTGATGGCTCTACAGTCGACTCCGGAACTCCACCTCGACAAGAGGCGGTAGCGGAGTCGGCGGCAGCGCGGCAGCGGTCGACTTTCCCGCGTCCTCACCGCCAGGTAAGCCGACCTAAAATACGCAACTTCAGCTACGGTATTCACGTAGCTGAAGTTGCGTATCTTAGGTCGGAAGTCCGCTGTAGTGTAGACCTAGCCATAGATGTATGGGTCACATTTTCACCAGTGTAGACAAGACCCAAGAGGAGATGATTTGAGGGAATGACTTTGAGGAAAGTGAGCACTAAGTGGAGGAGGAGGAGAGGAAGATTGTTCCAGATGTTGGGGCCACATAACCTCTACAATTCTCACCATTCAACTGTTAACTGTAAACATATAAGCCAGTGTAAAAATACTCCAATCCAACAGTACTATGGCTTGGTTCATTTTAACTGTTCAGGGTAGTCACCAAAGAGTAAACTCATGGAGGTAGTGGTTTTTCATTAATTTCAGAACGCAGTTTCTGGATGATGTGACCACAATATGTGCATAACTTAGATATATCTGTTAGCCTGCAGGCTGATGTAATTCCAGTAGCGAACTGAAGAAATTAACTTTGTTTGCATTTCTATACAGGTATCTAGTAGGCTCAATAAAACGCTTCAAATGGATTAGCCTCTGTCAGAGCTGCAAAACTGCTCACAACATTTTTTCTGCCTTGCCTCACTGCTTCACACTCCAAATCTCTCTTCTATCTTGACTTCACCTTTAGTTGATAGTATATTTGCATGCAATAAACATTAACATAATATGTGAGATCTGTGCTGTCATCTTAATGTAAACCATAGAAGAGTATAACGAATGCTAGTCACAATGCATCCTCTGTTGTATTGGAAATGTTGAGTTCTATATGAACTGAATATATTATGGAGTATGTGATAAGTCTGGTTTACATATGGCTTTCTGCAGTGCAGTGAGACTCTCCTTGAAGTGTTTTCATGCTCAATAGGAATTAAAGCAAAAAAATTTAGACTCCTGTTTTCCTTAACCTGAGAGGACAGCTTGATTTACATATTTATGAAAAATATTTCTCAGATACATGCTGTGCAATTCTACATTCCATTTACAGTTTGATATTTTGATTATAAAATTGTTATTCAGGCCAGTCTGTTCTTTCCTGTTACTACAGGAAAAGTTTTTTTTTTTCCTCTTTTTATTCACGGAGTTAATTATTTTATGTTCATTGAAATGCATGACATAATGATTTCTTTCTTTCTTTTTTTATGTTAAAGCCTTAAAGAAAGAAGATAGCAGCCTTGATGAGGTAGGTTAAATATCTTTGTACCTTACTTAATCCAGATATGTTTAATTGCTACAGATTTCTCACTAAAATTAAAAGTAACTTTTGCTTTATCATATTAGTGTGCGTATGTATACATGCAAATAATCTGAGTATCTTTTCACCTCCCTAATGACTACCAGATGAGTTTTTTTACAGAAGGCCTTGGGCTTAAGGCTTGTTTCTATAAACCTATTTTATACAAAGTATTGCATTATGTTATGTAGAGAGAAAATGCTTTACAGAACTGAACCGTTAGTGGTTTTTATTATAAACAGTAAATATATATTTATATAAAAGATATAAACTGAATATCTTTTGAGGGAACCCGTCATACAGGACATTGTCCTGTTGGGTCCTTGTATTGGTTGAATAAATAGTATGCTCCGGTTAGACCTGAAGCTATGATTAATCCTGCTTTAGGAAGCTATTTACAAATCAGTTTTTGTACAAGTGGCGGCACCAACACAGTAGAGCCAAAGTTAAATTGTGTAGGGCACAAAACATACAATATGATTTAAGACTCTGAATTTGCAAGACCAGTGCAGACACGTGGTTATTGGTGATGCTTTGCTTGTGGTGGAAATGGGGTTCAGACAGCGTGTTATCCTGGAGCACAGGATTTATTAGTGTGAGAAATTGCCGGTAATGTAATCCGTGATTATGCAAATCACAAGTCATTTCCTTCTAACCACCTTGATGGAAGTAAATAGCAGCATCTCTTACTTTCCATGAAATAACCTTACAGTTTCTGGCTATTTGTATTTTCTTCTGTATTCTATTCAGAGAGTAAGGACTTGGATAATAATGACCTTGCTACTGCATAGGTAGTGGTTATGTTTTTGGTTTGAACTGAAGGTACCACACTATATAATGGCCTGATCCTGAAAGAAATGAGTGAGGAAGCAGTAGGTGCTTGCCACTTCATTGGTTCAGACTTTATCTCCTCCTAAATCAGATAGGGCCAAACATAGGTGCTGGAACTAGGAGTGCGGGGAGTAGGGTACTGGGCTGGATATCTTCCACACCTGCCTGGAAGTAGTTTCCGTCATATACAGGGTTTACAGTTTGGTTCAATGGATCTCAGCACTATACAAATTGTTCCAGCAGCCCTGGGGCCAGATTTGTTTTGTCCAGTTTGTTCAGGCTTTGTACCGATGAATAAGAGTCTTAAATGGCTCTGAAGTAGAGGCAGTGTAGGCAGGTCAAGCTTTGTTAGAACACTAAAGGAATCTCTAGCTTAGAGCCAAGGCTAAGATACGATAGTCTTTAGAACATGGCTCTGGCACAGGTGGGTCCCATCCACAACAGCTGTCCAGATAGTGTTAGAACGTGGATCACCTGTAAGTGATTTGCAGCTGTTTGCTGGTAAGTATGGTGGTTAAACTTGGGCTGTATCTACACCACAAGCTAGGGGTGTGATTCCCAGCTTGTGTAGATGTACTCTCACTAGCTCTCATCTGAGCTAGGAAAGCTAAACATAGTAGCCTAGCTAAGGTAGCATGGGCAGCAGTGATATGTGCTAACTGCCCTGTGCACAGACCTACCTGAACCTCTGGGTACGTACCTGGGGCTGCTAGCACATGTCACTGCTGCCCATGCTACTGCAGCTCCAGTAATGTTCTAAGGCCCGGCCTACACTGGGGGCGGGTTTGCTCTAAGTTACGCAACTTCATGTAGCTGAAGTCGACGTACTTAGATCTACTCACCGCAGTGTCTTCACTTCTCTAGACACGATAAATCAACCCTCGTCAACACTAGACGCGATAAATCGACCCCCGCTGGATCGATCGCTGCCTGCCAATCCAGTGGGTAGTATAGTGTGCTAGCTCAGATGAGAGCAAGTGCAAGAATGTCTGTACAAGTTGGGAATCACTTCCCTAGATTGTAGTATGGACATACAACCGAAGGACTCAGGCTATTAGAAATCTGGCACATTTTGCTGCTTTGCTTCTGGTCTCTGTAGGAGGCTGAATTGTTTATAATAAAACTGACAGGATGTTCTTGTTTTTAAATGCAATCCACATAATAAAGAAGAACATGATTTATTAATAACTTGCCTTAAACTAGATCTTGAGTTTGGAAGGAATAAAATCCACCTGTTAAGTATGAAGCACTTTCAAATCTTAAAGGAAAGCAAATTGCACATACCACCTGTGGAGGAGGCCTCATATACAGCTCGACAGTGTTTCTTATGTGTCTGGGTTTCCATTTGTACAAATGGGACTGTTTCTGCACATGCTCCAGTTGAATTCAGTGTGTATGTGGCAAGAGTAGTATATTTTTTTAAAGAAGTCTTTAAGGGAGTCTGGCTGATCAGTATAGACGCTCCCTGACTTACACAAGCGTTCCGTTCCTTGCTTAACTCAAATTTTGCGTAAGTCGGGAACGTATCTCCGACAATTACGCCTTAAAAAATAAACAAACAAAAAAACCTTTCTAGCTTACGGAATTTAAGGAACTTTTTCTGTAAATGCGGACTTGCGTAAATCAGGTTTGCGTAACACGGGGAGCGTCTGTATATGGATTGCTGCAGTGTTAGCAAGAGAAGGGTCATGGGGAGGAAAATAAATGAGAATCTTTTCTTTTGTCCCCAATACACACAGAAGAGATAGGTGTGACATAATTGTCAATACCTGTCCCCTCCTTATTTTTGGGTGACATTTTGCAGAAGAAAAGTGTGTGTATGTATGGCTCCCCAGTGGAGGAGAGTTTGGCAGCAACTCGTGCTGCCAGACTTATTGACAGTGCTTTCATGCGGCAGGGTCGGGAATCATTCTGGTGGGGTCTGAATCTGGCACTCTGCCTCTGTTGCTATCGCTGTTCCTGGAGCTATTGTGATTAGTGGTGGGAATAGGTACTTGCATGATTGGTGTAACAACACCTGCAAATAATGTTGCATACGTCATATCCATTCTAAAAGGTCATTTTCAGTGGCTTAAACTTTACAGTACGAGCTGAAACTTGACAGGTTCCCTTCTATGCCAAGAATGTGTTGTGTGTGTTTTGGCAAGTTTATCAAGAATGGTTCAGGTTTCATTGAGAGTGAAGGTGGTGGTAATGATGGTGGTAGGGAATCCTCTCCCCACTAGAACAAGTGTTGTAACCTTTTGTTTGATCAGCTGTTGTGGTTCAAGGCAGAAACTTGAAATGGTCTAGATGTGCCATTTTGGTATTCTGGTGAAAACTGGTTGCTATTTGTGAAAGTTTTAAGGCCTGAAAAAAAGAGTTTGCACATTCTTACTCTGTTTTGTAATGCAGTTACATACTGATCTGCCAATATTCTGTCTGGTGTGTGGATAACTGGGGGATTCCTTTTCCTTTACCTATGAGGAATATGTTGTATGTGGAAGACTCAGGCCTCTGAAAGATTTGTCTTTTCAGGCTAAGGGAATAAGTGGAGTCATCGTAATACGTGCCTCGGTCTGGTGGTACAAGGGCTAATAACAAGAAGTGACCAGAGGACAAAAATTCCATTTCACGGTAGTTTTCAAGGTTTCAAAATTTGGCTTTATTCTGCATTGGAATGAAACCAAAACCTTTTGAACATTTTTGTGAATATGGATTTGTGTCAATGTTGGTCTATTCAGATCAAGCCTGACCCTTTTTGGGAAGAGGTATATGGGTGTAATCTGGTGGTTTGGGCACCAGTCTGGAATGTGAGAGATCCAGGTTCAAGAGTGAGTGAGTCTGTCTGTCTGTCTGTCAAAAAACCTTCCCAGTGAAAACTTTGTCAGAACTGATACATCCCTGGAAAAGTTTTTGTTTTGACATTTTATTTAATTGAAAATATGCTAACCAGCTCTACTAATAACTGAATTATTGGGATAAAATTAAAAAAAGTTTAAATTGAGGTTGACTATCAAGAAAAGTTTGATAGTGAGATCAATTAGGTCTTGATCTTCAAATATGTCCATTTGACTTAAGTAAAAGGCAGCTGATGAGTATGCATTCAGGTGTTTTCAGGAAGTAGTCTTAAATTGTAACATAAGTGCATCGTTGTTGCGTGGGATTGGAGGATGCTGGCAGACGCATTGTAATAATGGAGTTGTTACGTGTTTTAATTGTCATGTTATGTAACAGTGTCAGATCACTTTTCAATCGTAAATTATGCTACAGAGCAAAATAGTTAATAGTCGATAATATGAATTTGTTCTTATTTTCTTACTTTAAACTTGTTGAATACGGGATGACAGAAGGATTTGTATTATAAGGTGGACATAAATGGCCTTAGCACAATTGTTGTTTGAAACCTTTGTTGGGAGGCTGCACTTGAATCAGTATAATTCACCCTATCTTATTTCGTCAGAGGGGTGAAATTTTGGAACAGCCTTCCGAGGGAAACGGTGGGGGCGAAAGACCTCTCTGGCTTCAAGATTAGGCTAGATAAGTTTATGGAGGGAATGGTTTGATGGGATAATGTGATTTTAGTCAATTAGGCAATAACGTGCCATCGCTGGTAAAATGTGGGTCCGGCTGGAGAATCTTGCCTGTATGCTCGGGGTTCTACTGATCGCCATATTTGGGGTCGGGAAGGAATTTTCCTCCAGGGTAGATTGGCAGAGGCCCTGGAGGTTTTTCGCCTTCCTCCGCAGCATAGGGCAGGGGTCGCAAGCTGGAGGATTCTCTGCGACTTGAAGTCTTTAAATCACGATCTGGAGACTTCAACAGCTGAGTTAAGGGAAAGTGGGTGGGTCAGCTTTTGTGGCCTGCATCATGCGGGAGGTCAGACTAGATGACCATAATGGTCCCTTCTGACCTTAAAGTCTATGAGTCTATTTCAAAATTAACACATTATGGCAGGGGGCAATTAAAAAAGAAAGCTTCTTGCTTTTTATAAAATAGTATTAGTAAATATTTAATACATCACTGGCCATTCTAAGAAATAAACTGTAAACATTTCTAAGTCATTTTGGCATGCTCTGGAGGAAGAGATCTCTTCTGACCCAGCAGTATACCCCACAAAAAATAAGGGAAAATTCTAG